CGCTCTTCGACAAGCCACTGAAGAAAAGTCGCAAACATTTCAAATAAACTACACGAGATTGAACAACCAAAAGGAAGAGATTTGTCTATGTAAAAGTGACCATTAAATTCAATTCCACGAAAATTAAAGTCAGCAGGATTTACTACTAAATTACGAAAAGCCTTTTTTCTAAAATAGTGTCTAAAGAAGTGTAATTGACCTTGTAATATACCTGATCAATGTATGAATTAACACTTTCACCTGGTGGGAACGATAAATTAGTTATCAGTCTCCAACTACTATCTGATTTGGGCACAAGACCTATAGGATTTATATGGAGGGTTGAAATAGGCATAACTTTGAAAGGCCCTAACATTCTGCCACTATTTATCTTGTCTTGCAACTTGTGTAAAACTGCATCACTATTTTGCTCAGCTGAAATTAAATTGTTTGCAAAAGAATGAATGCGGGGGCCTGTATACTGGAGTCTGAGTCCATGTAAAAAACCATTAAGAATTATAGCAGCAACCACTTTGTTTGGGTAACTTACCAAACATGCTTCTAAACATTTAATTCTTATGGGGTATGCCCCTTGTCCCATAAATGCATTAGCAGATCTCTGTCTTGGGTTTGAACCAGGTTGCCTAGATGAGAAATTATGTCTGTTTTGATGTCTAGCTGACCTGAATCTTGGATTAGCATAAGAAGGTCTTTGGTTATGCAATGCAAATATCTGCCCATTAGGACCGATTATAATAGGATGACCTGCATTACAACGAATGCAAACATGCTTATAAAAACAAGCTTGTTTGAAACAACTACCCTCATAATTAAAAGCATAACATTTCAAATTAGACCTAGTGTTCATGTTAACTGAAGTACTACCAGTACTATAATTTTTGTTCTCCGTACTATCATTAATATATATCAACCATAATTCGGAATCAACTGAGGACCAGGATCCAGTAGGGTCAATGGCTTTACGCAAACAAAACTGCTCGTCATAATGCTTCCAGCCTAAATTATTACAACGCTTGGCACCTAAGCGTATAATACTCGTATATTTGAGCAACTCCTGAAATCTTTCAGGATGAAAACTACAATAAATACTAGTAAATAAAATAAAAGCCGTTGTCCACACCTCGATACTAAAGATTGTTTATTGGTTTAGAGCAGACTGCAAGACAAACTGCCCATTTTGTACTACTAATTTCTGCGTGTTTGTATCTGACGGCATGTTTTGTGCTAATAATAAAGCCATATCTATGTATTCACTTTTATAAATTTTGTCCTTTATATTTTGTAGTACATTTATTGCAATATCTGTATTCATGCCGTATATTTGGTTTAGAATATACATTTGTTGTATGTTACTGCTACTGCTTCTTATCTTCGTGCAATTATAAGATTTCCAAGATTTTTGTTTATATTATATCGAAAGTTTAACTTCTTGTTTGCACTCATAAATGAATGTGGATCCGTTCGCCCTAAAGGGTACGTACCTTCGCACCTTGGTACGTTCATATCCTTTGTTGCGATATTTTGTTGAATCTTTGCTATTGAAGATCTGTATACACATTTCCCGATATATATACCCTTTTAAGGAAAATTTAATAATAATTTGGGAGCTCAGCAGATAACGCCTGCCTCATATCATATAAACATTGAAGTTCCGTGAGTAATTACGGTTACTTATCTGTTACAGCGTATTATTCCATCAAACAACGGCTCTTTTTAAAAAAGCTAAACGTATAAATATAAAAACAAATTCAAACTCGTCGTCATTTGTGTACCAGTCAGGCAGACTACAAGAATTCTAATTTAATGTAAAAATACAAGAACAAAATCATTACTTTTATCTGCAAAACTTGTGACAATATTGCATCTAATTAGTTATATTTGTTAAAATAAAATAATAATGAAAAATGAATAATTAGAATTCAGCTCTTTCGAAAGCATGTCCTCACCACGTGGCGATAAATTTCGATGCAATATGATCAAAAATTACGATAAAAGGAATTTCCTTTCTAAGACTACTGGTAATGAACATTGTAAGCATTAAACACGTTAAATCAATACCAACACTACTCTTCCATGAAAATCTTTCTTAAACCTTGATTTTTTCTTTTCAATTTTACCGCTAACGAAATTTAAACAGCTTGCTTGCTTGGAAATTCTGAAAAAGGACTAAATTACGTCACAGAATTAAACGTCACTCATGTTGGGTAAAGCTAAAACATGAAACACTATCCAAACGAGGCCCCATCGATAACTGAATTTAAGTCTATTAACTTAAATTCCATTAAGCGAATTTTTATTCATTGCAAAGATGAAATAAATGAAGCACTATGTAAAAACAAGTATTAACTACATTGTTTCGAATCTTAAAAAAAATTAACAATTTTAAATATATGAATTATAATACTGACTTATAATATGAATTAACTAAAATGTTGAGAGTATATGTCCAGTTAAACTTTGCTATTGTTTACCATTTAACCATTATTATGCTTTGTGCGTTGATTATATACAATTGTATTTCTGTGTTTTTGTTTCCATATTGTACACTTGTGTGTCAGAGGTTTAATTAGTGTGATCTATTGTAACGTAATTCTTGATCATATCAATTCAAAATACAATCATTGTTTTTAATTACGGGTCAAACCGTGTACATTTTGTGTCTAAATTCTTACACACGCATGTAGGTTTCTATATATATCCAATACGATCAAATTTGAGACGTTTGACATTTTAATAAGTAGGATACAGTACATGCATGTGTCACTTTCCTCTTTTCACTTATTTGAGTGTATAGATATAGCATTTCATTTTGAGTTAACTTTATTTGTGTGACTTTTTTTATTGCTTAGCTTCAGATTCTGTAAACCGCATAACTGTCATTTAAATGTTGTGTTTCTCCTTTCTATAATTTAAACTATAGAAGGTATGGTCAATATTATCTAGTCATTGACAATGGTTTGAAAAAGGATCCTCATATACAAAGTGATGTCATTGATTTAATTTCATTGTTGAATTTTAGATTAACAAACTACCCCTTTATTGGATAGATATGAGTATTAATAAAGAACTGCCAAACACGATGTAAAATTTCAAGGAGTAACGTTAACAAAAACATAAAGTGCTATTAAAGCTTTCTTACATTTTGACGAAAGGTACGAACGAACGTAAAGGGAGCATGTATTACATTTCCACGATAACACAGAGTCTTCGTTTTATCCGATAAAACAGCATTCTTTTCTGATTCAAACGTATCTTTAAAAAATCAAGCATATCGCAAATAAAACACGCTTTTAATATCTGAAAATAAAGAAAAATAGTTTCAAATACACTTACGTCCGATACGATTACACCGTGACATTTGCGCGGGAATTGTTCAAACATGCGTTTCACCGTTAACATTTTAATGAAAATATTGAAGTATGATACTCTAAATTTAACGACAAGATTCATAATGATTTTTTTAATTAGTATGCTATCATCAAATTGTCAACGTGGATTATCGAGATTTGCAAGACAAGGATGCTGCAATGTTTTGAAAAAGTAATCATGTTTTTAATATGTGAAATAAATCAGTGAAAAAGAAAGATTTTGCGATGAAGTTTTTTTTTTTTTTTTATTAATGTGAAGGTAAATGTAAAAAACATAATGTGACTCTCACGATCGCATTTTAACACCTAAATGTATATCAAGAAAATAAATCTACTCTTGCACTATATATATTCTGAATTTAATAATGACGGTTAAACAGTAAACATGCTTCCAAGATAGATGATTATTGGTCGTTTAACGTCCAGTGGCAAATATTTCATACATTTTTAGGACGAAAACGCAATTATACGCTGAAAGAACGGTTCCGTAGTTGAGCCTAACTTGGGTGTATGGACACATCACAACGCGACAATGGGTATAACCCAGGGAGAAGCGGGGAATCACTGCAAGTTATTAAACGAGCCCCGTCATTATATGTGTTGGAGGTCGTTTTTTTTCATTTAAATATTTTTTGGGTTGCAAATTTTTGAATTTAGGAAGTATTTGTTTTTTATTTTATCTTATTTGTGTGAGGGGGAAGCCGATTTATTTGCCTTGGTAATTTCTTAGGTAAAATAAATTTCTTTTGGAAGGGGGGTTGAGCACAATCTTTTAGTTTTAGAGGTATTTTTTTTTCTTTTAACGAGCTTATATTTAGGAAATTTTGTAGATTTATCTCCTTCCCCCTAGTGGTATTACATTTTTACCTCTCGTACGTCCCGATATTCCTATATCGCACGAACAATCAAGTTTAACACGTGTTGGTCCTTAATAGGCAAGCATTAAAGCAAAATGCCATCGAGGTTCCATGACGCTTCGATTCAGGTTACATAAAAATGTCAAAATAAAGGATCCCTAAAACGAGTCTTGCGTACGTACCTTTCGTCAAATTGTAAGAAAGCTCTTGTAGGAAGTCAGATAGGGTGTGTCCCACGTGGAGAAGGTGTATTTAAATTAAGGACATACGATACAGTTTTGATCCCACGGTGAATTTTGGACGAAAGTTGGCATACAAGCTATTTTTCACCTAGTCAATTTAAATATGTAATAAAAAAAATACCTTCATTTGCTGCCTTTAGGGATAAATGGGGTCGAAATTTTAGACCTTTACTGGAAATTTCGGTTTCTTGGACATTTCTATCCTTTGGAAAGACATATTTAACTTTTTGTTTCAAAAGATAAACGCAAGCAGATTTTTGTAAAATCATCTGGAATATCGTCAGAATTTGTGTAACAATTCTGGGAAACTATTCATTTTTATCACACTTTCATGAATTTAGTCAACTAAATGAACTCGTTTTCAAGCTAAATCCGTCTGAACGATAAAGATCAGTCGAAAATGCATCTTTTCTCGATATGTTACAGTTAGACGTCGTGAAAAATAACATTTTACGTTAGCAACGTCATTACCTCCCCTGTAATTGTATCGTATACCCTTAAATCATATGCATATGTTTTTCATTTTACTTTAGAATTTCGATAATGATCAGTGTAAAGTTTTTGTACCTGTTGTGTGCTGTCATACATGTTGATGGGCACGGAAGGTTGTGGGAACCTCCGTCAAGATCGTCTATGTTTAGGAAAGGATTCCCGACACCCCAAAATAATTTGGACAATCAGCTATATTGTGGAGGGTTTTCGGTGAGTGAAATTAGAAAGGTTCTCTTTTATTATTGTAACTCTAAATTGTACTTCGATTTAAAAAAAAAATGACTAAAAAAAACATTTTTATAATAGAATTGATGTAATAACATAAACGGTACAAATTGTTCTGCCCCAGATGCGCATTTCGACAATCAGTGTCCCTTCAGTGATGCTCGAGGCCAAAATATTTGAAAATGTAAATATTGTTACGTTATTATAAGTGAAAACAAAGATTGCAAGATTTTATTTAGTCAACTTGCATGTAAATTCAATAATTTTGAATACAGAGTTCGATTTCTCATGTTTGTTCAGTTTGAAAGTAACAACAAAATTAAGAAATTTTACAAATTTAAAAAAAGTAATCTACTAATAACTATGCCTTTTTATAATGATTTAACAAGTTGAAAACCGATATGTTTTAAAAAATGAAAATGAAAATGAAAAAGTATGAAACTAGATATATTTCGATCGTTTAATATGATTTTATTTGATTAAATGTAATCGTTACTGGCACAAAGAAACTCGTTATTCAAATATTTGGTATATAAACGAATAATTATATTCAAATGGTGTTCAATATTGTTTCAAACAAAAATTGAATATTCACGTATACATGTATCAGTTTAAACAGATATGAATTCATTATCCAAAGCAACTCTATTTTTTTAATAGAAACGAACATAACTGCATATTCATCTGCAAAAAGTCTTCTTATGTCGCCATTTACTAAATTTGGTTTCTGCAAATGCTGAGGTATTTTTTTTTTTCGTGGTTAAAAGTTAACTTAGCAAGGGAACTTAAAAAATACCAAACCACTTAAATAAATACATGGAAATATTAGCACAATACGTATATTATAGAACAATGAAAAGATGTCAATTCAAACAAAATATCGAACAGCTAGCATACACAAATGAGAAGAATAATTCTGTAACCAACTGAATAAAGAAGAAACAAGAACATTAAAACAGTTGATTGCGACAAAAACAAAATGTGAAACTTTAAACTGAACGTTGAAGTCTCCATTAGAACACCACAATAAACGGATTATCCAAAATTCGTAAAGGTTTATATACTTTGTAATGCTTCTTGTCACTGCTAGCAAGGATGGCATAGTAAAATAAAACTAGTCTTCATCAGTTTAAAGATCTTCAGATGTGAGAACATTTATGCTAATGAACGTTTAAAAAATATTGTTTAGTTTTGTGTAAAGCTCTTTATATTTTTTGTCATTTTTGGTTTATAAGCTCTTCCTTTTTTGTGGATTTTAAAATATTTTAGCCTCAAACATCACTTTAGAGACATTTATTGTCCAAATGCGCACATAGTGCTGAAAAATTGGTTACGTTAATTTTATTATAAGAATATACGAATATTGAGTATTCATAAAATCTCCATCTCGATAGGTTTGAGAAAAAGTGAGAAAAGGGTAAAAGATGGTGTCACCGATCTTGACTTTTCCTTTTACAATCAAAGACAAACATTTAGGATTACGACGAAATGGTGTTAATTTCATTAGAAAAAGTCTTAAATCAGTAAACGTAAAGTTAAATTTTGAAGTTCCGGATTAACGTAAGGAAAATTATGAAAACGTTGTCACAGTTAACAAATTAGTGTTATTAAATATAAATAAGAAGATGTGGTATGAGTGCCAATGAGACAACTATCCATCCAAGTCACAATGTGTAAAAAGTAAACAAGTATAGGTCAAAGTACGGCCTTCAACACGGAGCCTTGGCTCACACCGAACAGCAAGCTATAAAGGGCCACAAAAAAAGACTAGTGTGAAACAATTCAAATAGGAAAACCAACGTCTAATCTATATAAAAAACGCGAAACGAGAAACACTTATGAACCACACCAACAAACGACAACCACTGAAAAACAGGCTCCTAACTTGGGACAGGTGCATAAAAATGCAGCGGGTTTGAACGCTTTAACAGGCGCCAACCTTCACCCTAACATGAAACAGGTGTATAACATTACAACATAAAAAGACACACAATAAAATATCAATTAAAATGGCTTAATTCGATCAAAAAGATAATCCACAAAAACAAGTAAATAAAAACTGAACGAATAAGTTTGATCTATGACACAATATAAAGAAAAAAGATGTTTCAATGTCAAAAAGACAACTTTAACCTAGGACAAAATTGCGTTAAATAAAGTAACGAACACAGGTAAATTTAAATATAATAATTTTGTTGTTAGGAGTACCGAAACATTTTTTACAAAATAAATTTTTTATTCATAGTACGAGTAAAGAAGTAATTTTTTTTCCTCATACTAAATACTTATCAAAGGCGGTACAAATTAAAAATAGGAAGACGAGATATAACACAAAATAACATTGAATAACAGAAATGACTTACAAATGAATTACAAATTGTGTCAACAGGTCAAATTAACACGAAAGTACGATTTGAGAGTACTTGCAGTTACTGAAAGCTAGTTAAAAGCAAAAAACAATTAAATAACAAATCATGCATCAGAGACTAAAATCAATTAAAACACATCCTAGGCAGGGATTTAGTGTTTTAACGCCATGGACAGTCAAAGAAGACATGACTTGTGCAATGCCAAAATAAAAGTAGCGACAGGCAGTAGGATAGTTAGGATTTAACCGTATGATAAATATGTATGATGTTATGTCTGGGACTATTATACTAACGGGACTGGAAATCGTTACACCAATCAGTGTAATAATATCAACATCACGGTCGTTAGAACGAGACTTTACCTGCGCTATTTATCGATACGCCATATTTTTTGACAGTGACAGCGTGACTTGATCTTATAATTTCGGTAATTTGTTTTCTTATTTTATAGTTATTCGAAATGATAATTCTTAATACAAACATGATTACAATATGTATAAAAGATATCTCGATCTTTGACAGTTGTTATTAATCACCAAATCCCGTCTTAAGTGTATAAAATGAAACAAAAAGATTGAAAATTTCAGGATGAAAATAGCGTGGGGACGATGTGGAAAAAAGTATATGATTCATACAATTTCTTATAACTGTTGATTCAAAAGAGATACGCAAGTTTGGTTTGTTGTAAAATCATATTTATAGGTTATAGTTTGGATTTGCCTTTTTATATTGTTACTTTTTAAAATAAAAAATGGAATATAAATCTCTTTCTCATTACAACCGGAACCCACATGCACGGCTCAAATAAATTATACTGTTCCTATAAAATTACCTACTCCTTTTTATGTGTACAATATTTTTATTATAATCAGGGTTAATTTTGCTTAGTAATGGTCTTCTGGTGGCATTAGCATATGACTTCGTGAAAATATGTACACTAGGTTCCATAATAAATACTACAAAAGTAGGCCCATTCACAGCCATATTGAAATTTTGGTGTAAACATTGTTTTTATTGCACACTTATTGTTTTTATCAGGATTAATTATGATCTGTTAACCTTTGACACGTTGTTTTCTTAGCAGTCAAGTAAAGCGCCGGCATTTCGACTATATCTGGTTTATTTTCAACACTAATATATTGACTACTTATTAATAATTTTTCGTAAACAATTTATATTTTTGGCATTTAAATAAATTAATTTAATAATTATTTTCTTATTTCAAATCCACCAATTTTAACAGTATTATATATATGCTGATTTGTTTGCCGAAATCTATTGTTTACATTCATTTACCGAATGCTAATTTACTACGTGACACGATAAGCTGTCAATCAAAACAAAAAATCAATAATCCGCTATCGGGGCAATGAAATTTCAACAGATCGATCAGTTTCCAGTCCCGTATGTATAATAGTCCCAGGTTATGTATAGATAAAACAATTTTTGCTAAAAAAGGAAAATTAACAATAGGGAATGAAAAATCGTCTCTTTTGTCGTAAACTTTTGTATGGAGTTTCCCTTTAGAAATTGAAATGTCTAAATCTAGACAAGGATAACTACTGATGTTTATGTTAGATTTATCTAAAGAAAGTTCCTTTGAGTAAATTTCGGTAGTATATTTAGAGAATTCTAGATTATTTAATGAAAAAATATCATCAAGCTAACGGTAGGTATTGTTGAATGTGTCAACTAAATGTAACAATGACGTGTCTTTACTGATTTTGGCCATAAACTGTGATTCATAGCAATATAGGAATAAACCTGATATCAAAGGGGCGCAATTAGTGCCCATAGGAATACCTACTACCTGTCGATACACTTTATCGCCGAAACGTACATATATGTTGTCCAGGAGAAAATTTAAAGCTTCAATCATATCTTCACATTTCCAGTAAGTGTATCTAGCATACTTTTCTTTTTCGGTATAGAAAAAGGCCTTAAACGAGTTACAGCAAATACATTTGCAATACCCTGTTATGTAATTAAAACATATACGGCAAGGTACAATATAGCTACCGCGTTCGAAGCTTTGATCTCATTTACTTACACTGTATCTCCCTTTTGTGGCTGAAATGACTGATTGGTGAATACAGTTGATAAATTAGTATTTACAGACATGTCTAGTTTCCTTACATGTATCTATAATATGAAATTAACTCTACAGCAATTACACAGTACATGATTGAAAAAGAAGAACAATAGTTAATGGTATTTTTCGGCATAAATGAGATAGAACTGAAAAACCACATATTTCTATAATCCAAATCAGTTCATATGGTCAAAAAGATTTATGTAATGTGCATATCTTCGGAAGTCAATAAAAAAAAGTCTAATCTTTTGCTGCTTGCAAAACGTCCAGGAGCAATTTTTTCATCCATATTTAGAACAAGATTTTTAAGACAGTAAAAGAACACCTTAATTAATTTTAAACAACAACAAGGAGAGTAAAACATACACGGACAACACTAATAATATGATAAGTCAGTTTTACCGTACAGATTTAAACAAAAAAAAATAAGTAAGTATGAACATATTACAATGATTAACAATTATGTTAAAAATGCATTAAACGTACATACATCGTGCATTTAACATTCAGTTGTATTTATGTTTTTTTATGAAAAATAAAACTAAATCACAATGCATATTCATATTATTTCAGCACCAGTGGAGTACAAATGGCGGGAAATGTGGAATATGTGGAGACCCGTATGATCAAACGCAACCACGAGAAAATGAGGCGGGAGGGAAATATGCTACAGGAATTATCTCTGCACAATACACAGTAGGACAGGTCATCGATATAAGCGTAGAAATTACAGCAAATCATAAAGGATGGTTTGAATTCAGACTTTGTCCGAATAATGATGTAAAGAAGCCAGCGACACATGCTTGTTTGGACAAATATTTGTTGAAGCTGGCAGACGGAAGTGGCACAAGGTATGAGTGTTTATCAATTATACTATATCGGTCTCTTATTTGCCCCGCCTACGATAGTATAGAGGGAGGGCATTATTTTTTCAGATCCGCCTGTTCGTCCCGTATAAAGTTACCGTTTGGATTTAGTTGTAGTTTGTGGTAAGATCAACTTCAAACTAAGTAGATATGTTCATTATGAATTGAATTATAATTCAATATACTAGAATATGCCAAATTATGACAAAGATTTCCTTTTTCACTGAATATGGAAAAAAACGATAGTGCGAGCAGGGCATACCATCCTATGGACACATATTCTTGTGTTTAGCTTACGATTTGCGTGTGTTTGTTTGACACGCTAACACATACAAATTGCAACTTTAAAGTATGACTGATAAGACTTAAGAAATCAGATCACGCCATCACAATTGCAGTATACTAGTATATACTATAGTAATGCAAGTATGTGGAGTATTGTGGCTAACATACAGATAGTAATTTGTGCACACAACTATTTCAAATACTTATAATTTGTGAATAGCATAGCTATTTTAACTAATTGCAATTCACAACAAAGTAGTCTGTAAAAAATTTTTTCAGGATTACTGCTTGGGTTTATACGTAACATGATATTTTCAAAGCTCACGACATATTTATTTCAGTCTTGAATAAGATTCATCACGTATCACGCTTGCTCGTTAAAACACCATGGCGTTCTCACTACAACGCTTCTTCTCTAAAACATTTTCCACAGATACAATTTTCAAAATAGTAAAAGTATATTACACTTCTCAAAGTAAAAGTAGGAATCCTTAACTATGATGGCTCACCGCCGTATTATCAGTAGCCCATGCGATTACATATAATTACCATAACACCTATGAACAAACAGTCCAGACTTTGGTCTGTATTTTGTTACATTATTTTTAAACGTCTTTTATAGTGCCTGACAACATTTTGTGAGATAGACGTATTGACCTTGAAACGATCGTATTGAATTTTGATGTCTAAAATAGGCAGATCGGACATATTTTGACTTTATTTACTGGCTACTTTTGTTTAGGATTAATTGTAATCATAACATTATATTGAGACTGAGATTTTTTATGTTAAGATAAACAATTATTTTACTTGGCGTAGCCGTGCGTAAAATGTATTTCGGCATTTCTCATCGAAAAGTGACATGTTTAATGGAATAAAACGTTTGATTTGTAAACTTTTTCTCTTTTCTCCGTAATAGGCTATTAAAAACTAATTTATCTACTCTATATGTGGAAAGTTTTGTGAAAATATCAGAAGTGGCAATTCTTACCTTTAATACCTTTAGTTTCATTGATAAAAAATATTATGGAAGACGAATACCAGTTTGAAGGTCATTTAAGTCACTGTACACATCCATGCATGTTCTGATTTATATACGTGTAGGAAAAAAATAAACAGTTTGAAGGTCAACTAATAATAACCTAATCAAACCAAATTGCGTAAGATTCAATAACAACGACCGGACCACATCATAATAAGTAATAGGGGTAAACTGGGTAGGGAGAAAATGACATATATTTTAAGTTCATAGTTTGCAATAACGAATAAAAATTTTTAAACCAAAAGTTTAGCTATAATTTCAAAACATGTCGTTCTGTATTGGTATAGTGTTCGGATCTTTCATTTTCGTTTATAAGGCAATAGAAAGTTTGGGCTTCAAAAGTTTACATAATTATTGACTTTATACAGAAAATTCGGCATTTTAAAACATTTAATGTTTCACAAATAGTACATGGATACAAAGTAAAATCATTTCGTAAAACACTGCAAAAAAATATTTCTGATTTGTTTAGTGGTATGGTCAAAAAGTGCGTTGAAAGGAACCGTGGTATAGCAAACATCGAATTCCCTCACAAAATGTTATCACACACTAAAGTGTTATATCTTTTTTTCATGATTTAATATCATACATGTATCTATAACGACAGGAAATATTATATGGGTTACACATTAAAGATAATAGATTTAAACTATTTTCGAGATAACAAAAATGAACTATAAATTAATATATATGCCAAATTTTGACCAAGATTTCCAGTTTCACTGATGGAAAAAAGATAGTGCGCGCGGGGCATTCTGTCCTGTTGACACATTTTCTTGTGTTTAGCTTATTCAAATTTGAAGACTTTAAATTTCTTAAACTATTTTCGAGGTAAAAAAAAGTAATATCACATGTGTTGACTTTCAGCAATGTGTATGGAAAAGTAGTTTAGAATGCATGTATGTGGACATTACACTACACTGCACTTCCATACAATCTTATCAAGAAAAAGATTCATATGTAATCAAATGGTCTTTTAAAAATCTCATTGCAAATTTATTTGCTGTAACTCGTTTAAAGCCCTTTTCTGTAACGAAAAAGGAAAGTATGCTAGATATACTTACTGGAAATGTGAAGATATGATTGAAGCTTTAAATTTTCTCCTGGACAACATATATGTACGTTTCGGCGATAAAGTGTATCGACAGGTAGTAGGTATTCCTATGGGCACTAAATGCGCCCCTTTAATAGCAGATGTATTCCTGTATTGCTATGAATCACAGTTTATGGCCAAACTCAGTAAAGACACGTCATTGTTACATTTGGTTGACCTATTCAACAATACCTACCGTTATTTGGATGATATTTTTTCATTAAATAATCAAGAGTTCTCTGAATAAACTACCGAAATTTACCCAAATAAACTTGCTTTAAATATATCTAACATAAACAGCAGTATTTGTGTTTTTTTAGATTTAGACATTTCAATTTCTAAAGAGAAACTCCATACAAAAAGTTACGACAAAAGAGACGATTTTTCATTCCCTATTGTTAATTTTCCTTTTTTAGACGGCGATGTTCCTTTGGCTCCATCATACAGTGTTTATATATCCCAAATCGTTCGATCTGCCCGTGTGTGTAGTGATGCCATAAAATTTAACGAACGTAATGAATGCATCACTGGTAAATTATTCAGTCAGGGATTTCGTTACAATAAATTACTTAAAGCATTTACTTAATTCTTTCATAGATACAAAGATTTAATTAGTAAATTTGGCTGTACCTGTAGAAAACTTATTAAAAACGGTATTTCACATCCTAAATTTTACGGTTATGTTGTACTAAAAGCGCTGAAATCACTATGTGATCGGTGTTAACTCATCGAACCTTTAAACAAACTTATTAGTAAAGGTTATCTTATTAATGTTGTAATAAGATCTTTGAATATTGTTTAACATGGCAATAACATCGATTTTGTCATCAACAAATTAAAACAGCTAAAGTATTCTTTTCGAATGGTTTTTTGGGATGTATAAATACACATCCACGTTTATTTTCTATTTAGAGATTACTTTATCTATATATAACATGATACTTATTTATTTTAAGGTTAAATCCTAACTATCCTACTGCCTGTCGATTCTTTTATTTTGGCATTACACAAGTCATGTCTTCATAGTCTCTGATGCATGATTTTTTTATTATTAATTGTTTTTAGCTGTTAACTAGCTTTCAGTAAGCTGCGAGTACTCCCAAATCGTACTTTCGTGTTAATTTGACCTGTTGCCACACAATTTGTAATGCATTTTTGTTATTCAATGTTTACTTGATCTGTGTTATATCTCGTCTTACTATTTTTAATATTTTTAATATGTACCACCTTTGATAAGTATTTAGTTTTCGATAGATTTTCACTTCTGTACTCGTACTGTGAACAACAAATTTATTTTATTTTGTAAAAAAATATTTCCGTACTTATATTTTAATTTACCTATGTACGTTATTTTATTTAACACCATTTTATCCCAGGTTATAGTTGTCTTTCTGACATTGTTTTACATCTTTTTTATTTATATTGTACTCATATTGTGTCATAAATCAAAATTATTCGTTCAGTGTATGTTTAATTGTTTTTGTTTATAGATCTTTTTGATCGAGTTAAGCCATTTCAATTGATATTTTAGCGTGTTTTTTTATGTTGTAATGTTACACTACTGTTTCAGGTTATAAATGATTTTAGTTTATGTCATATCGTCTCAATGCTAGTTAATAAAAATACACCATTGTGACGTTTCCTATAAAATAGAAAGAAAAGTTATACAGCTAATTTGAAACAAGACAAGAAATAAATACGAAATACACCGATAAATTGCAAGCAAAATGCAAAATCAATGCGAAAAATTATTCTGTAAACATTTGTTATTAATTGCAGGGACCACATTGATACGAGTGTGGGCATGCGTACAAAAAAGTGGATACTTCCTTCCGGTCTGACATGTACTCAGTGTGTTTTACAATGGAAATATCATGTTGGTGAGTAATTTTATCCAATATGAGAAAGAATGAAATATAGTCTGATATTTAAAATTAATAATTGTGTGCAAATAAGACAAAGCTTTCCCATAATTCGTGAAATTTGATGGAACTATCTCTTTACGCAGGAATTTGCTTATGAGATACATGTAACAGTATTGTATTTGAAGATTGATTTGTGGGCATCAATTGGCGATTTGATGGTCGCAAACTGAGTTTATTTGCGATGCATTAGAGGAGTCAATAAACAGACATTTGCGACAATCAAACCAAAATTTTATGGCCATAAATCAAAAATAAAATCCTGTTATCTCCATTCTAATGCAAATGACAGAAACACCGCTAAATTTTTCATTAAAATTAGCCACAAGACGTTTGCGCTTGGTGCGCATAATTCTGATTTGTATGTCAATGGTAAAGATGAAAGCTGTGTAAAGACTGAAATCTGGACATTTTTTTGTTTTTCAAATAAAATTACAAAAAATGTTTGATGACTGTATAGCCTCCATTACACTCAACACAAAAATCTGTTTCTTCTACTACAAATTCGGATCGCAACTGGGCTTATGCACATATGACGCTGTTGTAATTTGTTATAACTTTAATGAAATTTGGGATTTGAAATAAACTATGTTTTGTATGAAATAAACTAAGGCTGTCAAGAAAGTCAATACTTTATTGGAAAGTTATCCCCTGTTTAATAAAAACAAAACAAAATCTACTTATTTTTAATTTCTTTCACTAAAATGTAAAATGTTTAAGTTCAGACTCTTAACACTTACTAGAACAATATAGAATTATGATTTGCACATTCTTTGACATTTTAATAAATTTTCAATAAATAGGTAACAATTGGGGTGTATCTCCGGACGGAACAGGGTGTGTCGGATGTGGGGCACAGGAAGAGTTTTATGGTTGTTCGGACATTGCAATAGAAGATCCGAATGGAGCAGGGATTCAAACCACACTTCCGGGTAGCACAATCTCCACGTCAACCACAACGACTTCCAAGCTTACTACAACAACGACTTCTCCTACTGCAACTACAACAATGAATTCAAATCCATACTTGGGTAAAACATGCGTACCAACTTTGGTATATAAATACTCACCCGGGATGACCTGGTGGTGTACGGTAAATTGCCGAGGTGGTTATTGTCCGGCGACACATTGCGTGTGTACATAGAGATCTGCTCGGACTAAATTCGAACCATTTATTAATCCCCGGTACCCCGGTTCCGTTCTACAGAACATACTATATAATGTTCAAGTGCTATTATTTGTTGTTTAATTGTTACGATTTGTCATTTTATTTTTACTCGGATCTCCGTGCGGGAATCCTAAGTAATGTTATCCTTCATATATATTAGTATTATAAATGAAATTTCTTGAACATATTTTTTAGTTGATATTAAGGTCATTATAGGTAGTAATAAAACAAATGGTAACACATGATTTACAAAGTTTATTCTAATTTTGTTTTTCTTTGACCGCCTCGAGCTCGTGTTTTTTTTTTTTTTGTAGCGTGCTCCCCTCGAGTGCGGGAAGTAAGAATGAAAATGTGTGTGTGTATGTGTGTGTGTGTGGTTAATGGGGAGTGGGGAAGGGTTGAAGTGGAAAGCAAATATTTTTTTATAGTCAAAAGTCTAAATTGAAAACAACGTTCAAACCTGTGATTGCGTTGGATAAAAACCGCAATTTTTATACGTGTGCATGCAAAACAAATTTCTTGTCAGAGGGTTCTCAATACAGCACAAACAACATTTTCCAAAAGACCAAACAAGTGAAAAAGTATATTTTAACAAAACGCATTTGACTAACAGGTCGAACAACAAATGTTCTTAAATCCTGCTGATTGCCGTTGGTGATTGCCAAATAAACGGATCACAAGGTGTAATAAATGGATCTCTACTATAAATTTAATACCAAACAGAAAACAATAAACTTGCGGCGAAGATGGTATACCGCAAACAAAGGTGCAAAGATTTTTTGTACACCATATCCGGATTTCGACAATTAATGTCTCTTCAGTGATGTTAGGAATCGAAACAGTTATTGGAAGGCCGCATAATTTACCTCAATTTAGGATAGACTCTTGAATTTTCAGGAGTCAAAATAGAATGAACGGATCATATAAACCCGAAGGCAAATATAATACAAACCCAAACGAAAAAATATAATCAAGTCTAAATTGAAAACAACGTTCAAACCTATGGTTGCGTTGGATAAAAACCGCAATTTTTATACGTGTGCATGCAAAACAAATTTCTTGTTAGAGGGGTCTAAATAAAGCACAAACAACATTTTCCAAAAGACCAAAAAAGTGAAAAAGTAAATTTTAACAAAACGCATTTGACTAACAGGTCGAACATCAAATGTTCTTAAATCCTGCTGACTGCCATTGGCGATTGCCAAATAAACGGATCACAAGGTGTAATAAATGGATCTTAACTATAAATTTAATACCAAACAGAAAACAATAAACTTGCGGCGAAGATGGTATACCGCAAACAAAGGTGCAAAGATTTTTTGTACACCATATCCGGATTTCGACAACTAATGTCTCTTCAGTGATGTTAGGAATCGAAACGGTTATTGGAAGGCCGCATAATTTACCTCAATTTAGGATAGACTCTTGAATTTTGAGGAGGCAAAATAGGATGAACGGATCATATAAACCCGAAAGCAAATATAATACAAGCCCAAACGAAAAAATATAAACAAGTCTAAATTGAAAACAACGTTCAAACCTATGATTTCGTTGGATAAAAACCGCAATTTTTATACGTGTGCATGCAAAACAAATTTCTTGTTAGAGGGGTCTAAATACAGCACAAACAATATTTTCCAAAAGACCAAAAAAAAAAGAAAAAGTATATTTTAACAAAACGAATTTGACTAACAGGTCGAACAACAAATGTTCCCCTTACTGACAGGAATAACCGTTTCACAGATGATATCGGATATGTTCCTTATGTCGTAACTACAATACTCTTCCCTTTTCACGAATGTGACTTACCGAATTAGACTATTTACCGGATTTGTAATAACATAAGCAACACGACGGGTGCCACATGTGGAGCAGGATCTGCTTACCCTTCCGGAGCACCTGAGATCACCCCCAGTTTTTGGTGGGGTTCGTGTTGCTTAGTCTTTAGTTTTCTATGTTGTGTCATCTGTACTATTATTTGTCTGTTTGTCTTTTTATTTTTGGCCATGACGTTGTCAGTTTGTTTTCGATCTATGAGTTTGACTGTCCCTCTGGTATCTTTCGTCCCTCTTTTTTAATTGTGGCATGTTTTAATTGTGGCATATTTGTTAGATTTTTCATATTTAAGCTTTAATTTGAGTGCCTTTTAAGACCAAATCTGTTCAAATCTTTAACACATAAGTAATTTAATCGACTGAGGTAGAACCTTAAGTGTTTAAAAAATGTCAAAAATCTTTCATCAGATGTACTCCAAATTTTGGACAAAAATTAGCCCTTACCGGACATGCTTATATATATATATATATATCATAGTCTAGAAGTATTTTAGTTTTGTCCCTTGCTCCAACACCGTTGAAGTTTAGCAAGTACTTAATTCAATTTCTGAATTCAAGCAAAACAAACGATATTTCCGATACATTTTGAATTATCAACATCGCAAGTAGTCAAGAGATGTCTATGCATGTCAATCTTTTATGTTAGGTTGCTAACTTTTAGCTAATTATCTCATTATTAATATCTTTAAGTATTGGTATTAAGTATAATAGAATGGTTGGCTCCTTCCTCCTTCCCTAACTGACATGTAACCACATCCCTTTTAATAGTTCCTTGGTCTACTACTGATAAAACTAAGCGAATCAAAATATGCTTCTGTGATTTGCTTCTTCCGGTTGAACAATTCATAAAGACAAATAACACAATAGAATCTATATACATGTTAGAAACTACATGAATTTAATATGTTACGCATTGGTGGGGTCATGTCATAATTAAGAAACAGTGAGTAAATTAAAAATATTTAAAAATAATCAAAGAACAAAATGTCTAAGTGAGAAGTTTAAAGGAATAGGGCAACCTAAGCATACTGATTACACAAGCAGGAGTCACATGAGTATAGAAATATAGTCACATATACTTCCCCATTGTTGTATTGGGAAGGGTGTCTGTTTAAAACATAAACACATCTCATCGAAATGCATTCATTAAATGTATTATCCAGTCTTCAGACAATGCAAAACACATTTAACTTTTTTTGTTATCCGTTTCAAACCTCTATGCCTACAGAACCTAGACAATTGATTACATGTTAAATACTAGTATGTTAACGTCTTAAATGTAGCTGAAAGCTTTGACATTTGACTTGAAAAAGTAAATGTAAGTAGTGTATATGGAGGTAGAACATTTTTTTTATTTATTTGCCAGTCATCAGATCTTGCGTTTATCCGAAAAAGCAGCACGTCAGTACTTTGATTTACGATAAAATGACAGAAATATTTTTGCAATTGATATTTAAATAAAAATCCGTGCATCTAGATAGCATACATACGACATTTGTACTCAACCATTTGTTTTAAGAAATGTGTTCATGCTTTGTCAAACGATACAAGACTCTTTGAATAAATTAATAGAGAAAATGTCGGTCACTTTGCCTAACAGGTTGATTCCATCGAACAAAAAAGACCTTCAGGGATTTTGGTTATCCTGTTTAGACCCTTTGGTTTAGGCTCTTCTAAACGTTTCAGCTTCTCATTCCTGATTGAGCTTATGCTAAATTTCTAAAAAAAATTCAAACGGAAATTTATCGACATAATTATGCTTGTAAGTTTTGATTAAGTTTGTTTTGTCAACGTTTGTTTGTTCCTCAGAACAAAAGTAACTTTGGAAACTTTGTTATAAACGAAGATGTAATATCTGTTCCTGTTGGAACACATATTTTATACCCTTTATTCCGTCAGGAACAAATCTATACTATTAAAATAACGAGATACAATTTGTTAGCCGGCATGACGTAAAAACGACAAATCAAAGAATTCAACTTTATATGTAACTAATTTACGACAATGGTGTTGATTACAAATTACACCATTCCAGGCCGTTTTGTTTTCGACATAATTAATATTACAAATAATTAACAAGTTCCAGGTTGAATCCGATACCGATACCAATAGCATATGTCACATGTAGTTTCCGGTTGTATGTATGTTCTGTATCTTTCTCCTTTGATAGGAGCACCACCATGGGGTATGGTGTAAAGGAGGACATTTGACACACTGTGTCGGTACAGAATTAATGTGAACATTTGCCTAAACAGTTTCCCAGCCTGGCCGTAACGGGTCTTACTACCAGAAAGTTAACCTTCCCCATTGAAAACAATAAGTGCAATGCAATAAAACATACGAATATACACTCACCTGATTCGCTCATCCTCAAAATACCAAAAATGCAACATATAATAAAACAACTATATACAAAATAAGGGATAAGGTTGTAGTAAGAAAACCAGGACAGTTAAAAAAAGAAAGATTCTGAAAGCAGAGAAAACTGTGCACCTTATAATCAGCATGACTTTATTAGATGACAGTACGAATCCAAGCTTAAAATAAGGCGTAGGTACTTTAATTCAGTCACGGACCCGCAATGTCGAGAGAGTGTTCTAGTACTATAATATTCCTTCCAGTTAAAATAATATTCCAGAATATTTTTTTTTCAATTTAGAACTAAACTTTGCAGTGTATTAAAAGGAAATGAATACTTTTTAGATGATATATTTACATTTGTACGCTGATTTACCTACATTTTTCCAAAAGTGAAAAAATCCAGCGGTAGCAAGTAAACTTGGTAAAAGTAAGCAATCCCATTTGTAAAAAAGAATTGTTACTAGAACATGAGCTCTGCTCTTATATAGGTTAGTTTCTGAAAAAAAGTGACTGAATGAACATGACGTGTTTTATTCATTATGTTCTAGTAGATTGATTACAGTTCTAAAAACAATGCATTACAGACTTTAAAGTAAAAAAAGGTTACACGAAGCTTCTAAAAGTAAGATGCCTCTTCCGTCGCCGCTAGTAGACCTGATAATCATATCAGTTAGAAATACATTATTCCGCTATAATAAGGAAAGTCAGGTTCAATACCTCCAAACGTGTTACATATCTGTTTAGGTTTGTTGTTGTTTGGTTCTGGTGTTATCTTTTAGATATATAAACAAAGCCAATTGAACATTTTGACGGTTCCTTCGATCTTTCCTGTTGAAAAAGAAAATTTGATGAGTTTGACTTAACGTATAAAAAAGAAGATTAACATTATAGAATTAAATGTT